CCCCCCCACTTCCTGCGATTCACCGGGACTCTCAGCCAGCCAGTAAAACAGAAGGTTTATTAGACGACAGGAACACAGTCCCAAGCAGGGCTTGTAGGTACAACCAGGACCCCTCAGCCAGGTCCCTCTGGGGGGGCAAGGATCTTAGACCCCAGACTTGGGGTTCCCTGCCTCTTCCCAGCCAGCCCCAAACTGAAACCAAAAACCCCTCCAGCAGGCTCTCTCCCCCTCTCCCTTTGTCCAGTTTCCCGGGCAAAGGTGTCGATTCCCCATCCCCTTCCTGGCTCAGGTAACAGGCTCAGGTACCGTCCCTCACCTAAAGTCATCCCCTGCTCTCCCATCCCCCATGCAGACAGCCCCAGTAAATCTAAACGACATTCCCAGGTCAATCCACCCCGCTCCCTACTGCGTCACAAGGAGCAGGATTCGCACAGCTGAACGGTGTGGGCAGGCTGGGGCACTGTTGACTTGCGCCCCCGTTTGCCACACAGAGAGCACTCATGTAGACATGTCCTCCGTTCCTGGGGGGCATGGCTGAAACGTCAGTGATTTTCTGTAGCTTCTAGAATCTTTTCCATATCAAGGCACAGGGCAAGGTTTGCCCTTCTGGTTGCCTAAAGCTTGGCTCAAAAGTCCTTAGTGGACTGATTTTCAGAACTACAGAGTGCCCGTCAAAGTCATTGGGCACCTCTGGGTTCTCAGCACTTGTGACATTAGGCCACTTGCTAGGAGCAGGTTTGAAAATCTTGGGCGTAGTTCCTGTCACCAGCGACTAGCCACCTGGCTTCCTCCATCAGTTTTCACAAGTCTAGCTCCATGTATGTCCAGTTCGCAGAGTTTGGGTTTCAAACGATCAGTGAGATATTAGTATGGCTTCAAATAACCTTTTCATTGGCGAATCAAGGGTGCTCTTTGACCTTTTCCCTCATTTCCTGGGACAAACCATTTAATTCAGTGACTGAAAGATTTTTTTCCTTTTTTCAACAAGATGACGGTTTTTGAGTTTTGTGCGCCATGGATTTTTCCCTTTTCTTTGCTGTGATAAGCAGCAGCCTTAGCACCGAGTTAGACATGTCATCTTTTTTAATTTATTCTTTTTATCATTTCTAAGGAAGCCATCAGTGAGATACCAGGATTAGCCTCCTACATGTCTTTTTCTTTCTCAAGGAAGTAGGTCGTCTCTGGGTTTTGAATTTTTCTTTTTTCCATCCTCAGCTAGCATAAAACACTGAATGTTTGCTTTGAAATTGTGTGTGTGTGTGTGTGTGTACACGCCACTCTTTCAATCCTATAGCACCACTTGTCCCAAAACACTGTACAAGCTACAACTGCTTCCGTCACCAGAGCAATGCAGCCACCTCTGTTGTGAAGTGTCACCTGCTTACAGCACACAGCAGCAACTACACAACTGTTTAGACTAGAAGTGAACAATGCCATACCATGTCTTAAAATGATTGTTTTGAATTTGGAAATACACATGCAATATTACCCATTAGTGGTTCTACTCCTGGCAATTAGTATATTCAGAAAATGGCTGTTTTAACTTGCAGTTGTTCTATAGGTGTATCCTCAGCTAATGACCAGGGGAAAATATGATCCAGATAATGTTTCCTTTATTCATGTGAGAGAAGTTTGCTCCTAGGAAGGTTGCAAATGTTTGTGCTGAATGGCTAATTTTGACATATGTGCAGTCACACATGTATGTTCTCACATAGCATCACTTGTCCAAGTGCATGTACAGAATGCTGAGCGTAACTTGGTACCTCATGCAGCGCTGGCCGGTTATCACCCCATCCGTACTTGTACATAGAGTTCTTGAGTAAGCACTGGGGAGACTCGAGAGGCCAGATCCTCCATCAGTGGCATAGTTCTGTTGATGTTTCGCGGGTCTTGTCTTCACACACTGCAGCGGTGGTGCTGGACCTGTGGCTGCTTAAGGGGAGGCGGGATGGTGATAGCTGGCATTGGCTAGGTGGCCCCAATGCCTTTTGTTTCTGTTTGGTGCTGCTCTGATAAGTTGTGTCCCTGTGGTGAGCGCTTGCAGGGGCAGCTGGGAGCCTGCTTAAAAACCAGGAGCAACCTTTCCTCCAGACTCCGTCCTTGCGGCATGAAACTGACGTTCTCTTTCCCTTTTTGATATCTAGGCCATCTATAGGTTTCCCGATCAAGTTTGGCACGTGGAACTCCTCCCCCTTCGTAGGCAGCTCTACATCCTGTGTGCCGGAAACGGCATTTACTGTGTATCCCTGGACCAGCAGAGCAGGTGAGACTTGGGATGCAGCCTGGCAGGGACAATGAAGTTTGTCTCTGCTCATTAAAGTCCTAATGAGAGTAGCAGGTGGTTTAATGGCACATGCTTCCGGCGCTCTGCAGCGAGACCTGGCTGGAGTCTAGGGGTTACCCTGAAGGATGGTGGTCTCCAAGCATTCCCGACCCCAAGATTTCCATATGACCATCTACACATTCCTCCTGTTTGCCTCCAACTGTTGTGTGGTTACCATGCCCTGAAGGAACTGCAGCAGGGTTTACATTTCAGAGCGGAAACACCTGCTCTTCTGAGTCACCCTAAAAGAACGAAACCCCTGGCAGCAGAGTGTCTCGCGGTGCCCTGCCCATGCAGTGTGCTCTCCACCATGCTAGGCTGTCTGTTGGAGGAGTCCTCCAGAGGGCAGGGTAGCGGCACTGGCAGATGTCTAGTCACTGTCAATGCCTTATTTACTCATGATAAGTGGTGGGGGTGCCCCCCTCCCCGTGATCCTAGGGGAGCTGATGGGGCAGAGTTTTGGCCCTCCCAATGGGGCTGTCCTCCTGGTGTGTGGGTGTCTGCTTGCTTCAAGGCCTGTTTGTTAAAATCCATTAAAAAAACAAAAGGCTCGGCTCCCAGGCTGGTTTTGCACTGTCCCGGCAGCAAATCTCATCCACAGGTCAGACCGCCAGTCCATTGAGAGTGGTGACTTGCATCTTGCATTGACTGATTCTTGGGGCTTCAGAGGCAGCCCAGCCGTGCTCCTAGCCCCCTGTGCAGTGCTACATGTTGGGAGAAGGGGAAAATCTATCTGACCCCACCAGGGGTCAGCTCGAAGCACAAGCTCTTGGTTCCCCTTAGGTTAGCCGGTTCGCAGTTTGTGTGATTGATTAGACGCTAAAGTCCCGAGGCTGTGTGACTAGACCGGTACCGCCCATGCAGACAGCCTTGTGTCTGGCACCTGTGCTTCATCCTTTCAGCATGCACACACCCAACAGCCACTGGTGTTGGGGGATAGCAGAGGAGTGGGATGGCAGGGTCAGGTGCTCTCCATCATGGCCTCATGCACCCAGAAGTTACTGAAAGGGTTAAGGTGTTCCAAACCACACGCCCCTCTGGAGCACTGGCTCTTCCTGCTCTCTCCAGATCACTGCACCCAATGCGGTTCCTTGAAGCGGATGCTCCTTTTGTAAGCTTGTCTGTAAGCGCGGGGGTGAGAGGCGAGCTAAGGAAGCGCTGGCTTTGCCCTGTGGCTTGACTGAAAGCTTTTCCTTGTTTGCTTGAAGGTTAATGAAGCAGACTGATGGCGATGACAAAGAGGACGCTTGCCCTTCCAGCGTCTTCCCCGTAGACGCCGATGCCTGCATCGTCCCAGACGTCACGCTGTGCACCTTCACGCTGCTGAACGACGTTCTCGTCACCCTCTCCCAGGCTCAGGGCCAGTGGTGGATGAAACTCCACGTGCTCCTGGACCCCGATCAGGAGAGCCAGCCATGTCGGCAGATCAGCCAAGTGGGGTTCTCCACCTGCGACCAAACCGGAGACGACGGGGACGCGCTGTCCTCGCACTTCCTTCCTGTCTTGTGCTGTGCGTCCGCACCAGGCACAGCCGGGCCCGGGGAGGGTCTGTGGTGCTCGGGGGGGTTCACGCTGGAGGAGCCCCTCTTCAGCCTGCTCTTTGGCATAGACGCTGCCATGCTCGACTCTCCCATGATTCTCTGTGGTTTCCCGGACGGGCAGCTGTGCTGCGTGCCGCTGAAGGCCCTCAATTCTTCTGAAGCCGTTGACGCCTGCAGTGAGGTTGCAGGCCAGGTTCCGCCTGTGAAGATCCTTCACCATTTGGAAGAACCTGTTGTCTTCATTGGAGCCTTGAGAACAGAACACAAAGCCCCTGACGATCCCGATGACCAGCAGCTGTTTGGAGACTCAGGCTGCGACTGCGTTGTGGTGGTCGGGCACTACGGCAAGATGGTGGCCATGAAGGCAGAGCGGGGAGAAGAGGCCAAGGTCCCAGAGGTCAGGGAGTACTACCTGCAAGGGCCCATCCTGTGCGCCGCCTGTGGTGGCGGCAGCCGGATGTATTACAGCACGCATTCAGACATCTCCGCAGTCGACCTGGATTGGGTCAGCAACGCTTCTGACCCCGAGAGCATAGATAACACTGCATACGTCCTGCCTCCCGTTCTGTCTCCAGCCAGTTTAAGTATCTGTAGCGTTGTGGCGCTTTCCTTGTCTTCTCGGGCCTCAGAAGGTACTGCCAGCAGTAAAAAAAATTGTCATTCTTGGGGCTGAAATGGGCAGGAATAGCTTTGTCCTAACTGCGTATTCCCGTTTCTACCTCTCCACCATTCCTCGTTAAAGGTCCAGCTTCCATTGGCTCACCCTCGTTATTGTAAGTTGTTTACATCAAGCATGCCGAGCCAGGAATTGGATGGGAGAGGAAATGTCATGTGTGTTCAGAGATCAACTCCCCGTGTGGCTGTCTTTGTGGTGTCCCTTGTGTGGGTGTCTCTCCCACCTTGGAGCAGTAGGCGGTGTGGTCACGGTCGGAGGGGTTGTGCTCTCTATAAAGAGGACCTGGGGCTGCTGTGTCTGTGTCAGAGGTAGGATCCTGCATGGAGTGGCGCTGGGGGCAAGTCCAAATCGACCTAAGCGAAAAGCTTCCCAAAAGGCAATTTACAAACACCGCGGCTGGCTGGACAAAGGGCTCCACAGTGAAGAGCTCCAGACACAGCCGTTCAGAGTCCGTAAGCTCCTTTCCTTCTTCTGCCTGACAGCTCTGGGTCTGTGCATTGCTTCCCAGTGAGGGCTGGGGAAGCAGGGGTGTTGCCTTCTCAAAGTGGGGTGCTTTGGTAGACCCAGGCCTGGGCAGCATTCTGGGGACAGTCCGAAGTGCTCTGGTTCCCATTGCTCTCTGCCATGCATAGAGATGGGGGCAGAGAAGGAGCTAGGGAGCCCTGTTAGCTCTTACCTGAGCCCCATAAGCTGGTGGCTTTGTGAACACTTGGGCACTAAAGAATTGGCAAGAGAGTAAGGAGGCATTTGCCAAAGCAAACGTCCAGAGCATGAACAAGTGGGGCGAGGCAGGGCGCTGCTGGCACCTCTGCAGAACTCGGGGAGCAGCCTGCACCAGCAGTGGTTGGTTGTACGCAGAGCCTGAGCGTGTCTCCTGATCACAGAGGGCACCTGCATGGAAACAGACTCTTTGCATCCTCGCAGCTGCTTATTTTGCAGCTGTCGTCATCCTGCGGCGCCGCCCGGCTCCTGAAGTCACAGGGGCAGGGAAGGAGCAGTGGGCAGCATGGAGCCGCTTCCCATGCGTGTGTCCCTGGTAACAGAGCGAGTGAGGGAAGGGGCAGGAGCGGAGTGAGTCCATCCCGCCTGCAGGAACCTGCTCTGCGGGAACCGCCTGCAGGGGGCTGGTGGCTTGGGGGGCACTCTTTGTGGGCACGCCGTGTAACGTTTTGTGTATTTGGTTTCCCGTTGTAGCCCGTCGACAGTCATTCGCAGTCTGTGTCTACAGTTCTCTCCAAATTCCTGTTGTGGGACACCTGGTATTTTGGGGTGGCCCTGGATGGGTGTGGGGGGGCGAGAGGTGAGCCTGCAGTAATGGCATTATGATTGGAGCAGTAACTCCCCAGTCCCCAAACTGCTCCTGGAAAGGAATGTCTCGTTATGTAGGGACTAATCAGACACTCCTCGGCAGAGTTACACCCACAGCCCTGTCTGCAAAAGGCGTTTGCCTCCTCACACCACAGCTTCCCCTCCCAGCCGGCTTGCTGAGGCGGGTACAGTCTGCGGGCCCCAGTTGTCCCTGCAATCTTCAGGGGGAATGGCTCCTCTCTCTCAGGGCTGGGTGCAGGGCCCAGCCAGAATGAATAACGTACGCATCGGGGAGCTGTGTGTGATGTCCTAGTCTGTTTGCTGACGGCTAACCTGGTTCTCTCTGCGTGTCCCCCTCTCCAGGTGACTCGGAGCTGCTGGCTCTCTCTGCTAAAGGCCGACTGATGAGCTGTGACTTATGCAGTCCTGATGACGCTCATCCCATCAGGCTGACCCCAGAAAAAGCTGGCCAAAGGATAAAGGAACTGCTGTCTGGGATAGGCAACGTCTCGGAGAGGTAAAGGGCAGCGTGCTAATGGGTGTGAGTGGGCTGTTAGCTTGTGAACTCCGTGGTTTTATTGGAGGTGAACTAGATTCTCCTGCATCAGCTCCCGGCTCAGAGGTTAGCTGTAAAGTGCTTTTATTAGTTGGCTGCTGTGCTCAAACATTTGCCTTTCCTGAGTGATTCGGAGTCGAGACAGCCTGGGAAGAAGCCCCCAGCCCCATGGGATAATAAAAGCCTTTTTTGCAGCCAGTACTGCCCGCTGCCCTTTTCCCTTCAGACCAGAGAGCTCTTGTATGCCGAGAATGGCATGGTGTTTACAGCCTCTGCAACAGAAGGTGGGAGGGCAAGATACCTGTGACTCCCAAGCATCCCAAAGTGGATGCCCATCTGGGGATCCCGTGCAGGGCAGATGTGTGCCTTAGGCCTGAACGTTCATCTGTGCCTTATTTTAAACCAGTCTCTCTCCTTGGGGTTTGTGCGTGTGTTTCCTAGAGCTCCAGGTACCTGCCTTTGTTGTGAGCTGCTTTTGTAGCCGCCACAGCTTTTTGTACCGCTGTCTCTTGTAGCCACGGCTGAAATCAGGAGCCTTCCTGGGGAAGCGGCTGGGAGTGGGATCACATAGCCTCCCCGATTGGCTAGCATTGCGTTAACTGAACGGGCCCAGGCTGATCTGGTGTCATATGTGAAAGGGGGCATTTGGGGCACCAAATCCTTGTGAGCAGCAATGCTGTGGCTGGCCAGGTCCCGGGAGGGTTCTGGGGACGACAGGGGGCACTCAGCCTGTCCAGCGCTCTCGGCTGTTGAAGTTCCAGAGCAGTGATATCCGGGGGAGTTTAGAAGGGCTCATGAAATGATCCATGGAAGTTTGGCTTCTCCACCTGAGTGAGAGTGCCACTTGCCCTGGGTGTGTGTAGCCTTGTGTGCTACCCTTTGGCCACCTCGCCTGGCTACATTTCTGATTCGTTAGCTCTATGTCCCAAAGTCGTTACCTCTGTGGGAAGTGAGCTCTCTTCTCCCCCTGCTCCCCACAGAGTTTCTTTCCTGAAAAAGGCCGTGGACCAGAAGAACCGAGCGCTGACGAGCCTGAACCAGGTGATGAATGTGAGTGCTGCCTTACTGTCCAACCAAGATGGCCGGAAGCCCGTCACTTGCACTGTTACCGCCAGCTGGAGCCGCCTGCTGCTTCGAGATACCTGGGCCATCTCCTGCATGTTGGAGAACTCGAGTGAATGCAGCCTGGAGCAAGGCTGGACCCTCTGCGTTCAGCTGTTCACGAGCTCCTGTGCCTTCGACGAAGACTCTGTTGATTCGGCCACCACGTTCACCTTCCCAATCGACCAGCTCCTCCCTGGGAGCAAGAGGGAGGTGACGCTGCCGCTTGGCTCCGCCGAAGGCACCAAGTTGGAGCTGCCTCTGACCGTCTCCTGTGCCCTCTTCTACAGCCTGCGAGAGATTCTGGACAGTGCGTCGGACTCCTATGAGTCCCTGGACGACCTGCTTCCTGATGGCTCTCCTGGCCTTTCCCCAGACAAAGAAGGGATCTGCCTGCCCCTGAGCAAATGCACCATCGACATCTTGCAGTGCCTTCGTCTGGATGACAGCACAGTGCCTGGAGCCCCTCCTTCCATCGCCACCCTGTCAGACCCAGTGGAGACCTTCCTGAAAGTATCCAGGGTGCAGTCTGACCCCAGCAGCGTGGAAGTCAGCGACCAGCTGCTTCCCAAGGCACCGGACGCCCTAGGAGATGAGTATCTACCCCCATCAGTGGCTTCTATCAAGGTGTCATCGGAGCTGCTGAAAAATGCATTGAAGAGCTTCTGTGAAGGTTGGTAATTCTCCTGGGCGGTTGGCCAGTCGTAGTGCGTGTTTCTGTCCAGGCAGCATTGTCCTGGGGTGGATTTGCTGCAGTGGTTCCCCCTGTGCAGGGCTGGGCTCTGTGATCGCTTGCCAGAAGTCGTTCCCTTCGGACGCTCAGAGGCTCTTTGATTTGTCTTGTTTCCAGGGCTGTTTGGGGGGCTGCTTGGCCACGGATAACGAACGTTGAGGCTTGTGGGAGCTACGTGGCTGGCCTGCCTGGGTGTTCGAATATTCAAATACCGTCTGTGCGGATCAGCTGAAGTGATCAAATGAGGGTTGCCCGAGTCGGTCTCTGTCCCAGCTGTGTCTGCAGCGAGAAGCCCAGACCCAGGCTGGCTGCCTGGCGCTGCTGATGCTTTGTGCTAATTTTCGACTCTCATAAACCAGGATTTTGTGCCCCCTCCCCTGCCTGGGCATGACCCCCTGGATCGTGAGCTTGTGACATAGCATTCCCTTGTGCAGCACTGCCACCGCTGCGCCATCTGGCAGGAGAGAGCCGTTCCCTCGGGGTCTAACCTTCGTGTGGGGACTGGCCTCTCTGGGCAGAAGGAACCACAGCCACATACTGGGCCAAGGAGCGTGTGTGTGTAAACGCTCTTGGCCCATGTCTGCCGCTCCGAGCTGTGAGGCTAGGGCTAGGAACGTGGTCAGTCCCGACAGACCCCCCTGGACAGGGACTAGCCCCACCAGTCTGGAAACCAGGGGCTGGAATTCCATTCCTGCTGCCCCTGCTGGAGCCCATCCAGGCCTGCTGTAGTGGGGTGGCATCTCTTCTTGGCCAGTCCGTGGGATCGCCACCCCTCTGCCTGGGGAAGAGCAGGCAGCCTGTCTCCTGCTGGGCTGTTGGCAATGCCAGGACTCACCCTCTCCTTTGTATTAGTCTCTCGAAGTGGCTGTGCGAGGTGGGGTGGGGGGGCACCATTGGAGTAAGCTAGAGCTGTGTCGGAACGGAGTGGGTTTCAACGTGGGTGAGGGTGAAGGAACTGCACAGTGTGTGTCCAGATGTGATGCAGACCTCGCCTGCACAGCTTTGCCAACGCGCCTCTCCCTCTGGCTTCCTGAGCAGGGTCCGTCCGTCGT